ACAAAGCACAAGCTGACACCCCGCAACCCGCCCCAATCCCAGGTGGGATCTGTGTGACATTCCTCAGGCACTCCAGGCTGCCCTAAAGCTAAGGGAAGGAAAAGCAAATGGTTAACTGATAGAGATCACAGTCCCGCAGGACAGGGGTCTCCCTCGGTTTACAAAGGTCTTCGTGATTTACAATAAAAAAGCATTCTTACCAATAACCTAACTTCCAGAAGGAATCTCCCAAGGATCTTAATGTTAATGCTTTACTAGAGGGAAAAACAACCTTAACTTGACAATGGCAAGGTCCTCTTTAGCATATGAAAGTTCTTTTGAAACCCTTCTTTTTTCCTTACCTCCCCCAACTCCCAAGTATATAATCAGTCACTCCTCACAACCCTGGTGCAGCAGCTCTTTCTGCCCACGGGTCCTGACCAGCTTTTATAGAATAAAACCACCTTTTTGCACTAAAGATGTCTCAAGAATTCTTTCTTGGTCGTGGGCTCAGGACCTCACCTACATTCAAAAACTACATCACAATGCTATAACATGGATGAAGCTTGAAAACATCAGGCTTAATGAACCAAGCCAGACACGAAAGGTCACATATTGTATGATTCCATTTATATGAAATGTACAGAATAGGTAAATGTATAGAGATGGAAAATAGATGATTGGCTGCTTAGGGTAGGTGAAAGGGAATTACAGGAAATGAGGAGCTATGGGTAAAGGGTTTGGTGTTTTCTTTTTGGGGGTGATGTATATATTCTATAATCAATTGCCATGTTGGTGGCACAACTCTATGACTATACTAAAAACTACTGGGGCACCTGGGTGGCTCAGATGGTTAAGCGTCTGCCTTCAGCTCAGGTCATGATCCCGGGGTCCTGGGATGGAGCCCCGCATCGGGCTCCCTGCTCGGCGGGAAGCCTACTTCTCCCCCTCCCACTCCCCCTGCCTTGTGTTCCCTCTCTCGCTCTGTCTCTCTCTGTCAAATAAATAAATAAAATCTTAAAAAAAAAAACCAAACTACTGACTTGTATTTTAATTGAATGAATCACATGATTTGTGAGTTATATCACAATAAAGCTGTTAAAAATCTAATTACTAGAACCAGAAGTCAAAGTCATGTTTAATAACTTATTAATATAGGGGTGCCCAAGCAACTCAGTCAAGTGTCAGACTCTTGGACTTTACTCCGGTCTTGATCTTGGGGTCACGGGTTCGAGCCCCACGTTGGGCTCCACACTGGGTGTGGAGCCTACTAAAAAAAAAAAATAACTCTTTAATATAGTCAGGCGTCAGTTTCAAAAGCTACCAATGTTAGAATGGAATCTACTCTGCAACCATTTTTTTGATTACTACTTGTTGCATCTCCTTCAGCACAAAATGAAACCTTTGAGATTCACTTGAAGAATCAACAAAATCAAGGCGGTAGTCTAAACCATCATACAGCAGATACTTTTTTATTTTTATTATTTTTTAAGATTTTATTTATTTATTTGAGGGGGCAAGAACACAAGCAGGGGCAGGGTAAGAGGGAGAAGCAGACTCCCCACTGAGCGGGGAGCCCGATGCCAGACTCAATCCCCGGACTCCAGGATCATGACCTGAGCCGAAGGCAGTTGCTTAACCGACTGAGCTACCCAGGCGCCCCAGCAGATACTTTTAAAAAAAGATTTATTTATTTGAGAGAGAGAGCATGCACAGAGCGAGTGTGGGAGTGGCAGAGAGAATCCTAAGCAGACTCTGCACTGAGCATGGAGCCCCACGCGGGGCTTGAGATCATGACGACCTCAAGATCATGACTTGAGCCAAGACCAAGAGTCAGGTACTTAACTGACTGCGACACCCAGGCGCCCCATAGATGATACTTTAAATTCAGCAGTCTGTTCTTCATTAGTCTCTCCTCTTTTCTGAACAACTGCCTTTGTAACTGCAACTTTGCTTTTTGGAGGTAGCCTTTTCTTCTTCATTCCCACTTAGCCACACCCTGTCTTTGTCCAAGTTGGCTTCTAATTCTCTGTATTTCTCAAGAGTTTTTTTTTTTTAAAGATTTATTTATTTATTTGAGAGAGCGAGAATGAGAGAGAGAGAGCGCACATGAGAGGGGATAAGGTCAGAGGGAGAAGCAGACTCCCTGCCGAGCAGGGAGCCCGATGCGGGACTCGATCCCGGGACTCCAGGATCATGACCTGAGCTGAAGGCAGTCGCCCAACCAACTGAGCCACCCAGGTGCCCTATTCTGGAAACTCTTTTTCCTTGTCTTACTCATTGTAACCTTATTCAAAATTACGATTTTCTTCAAGTTGTTTCCACCTAGAGAGTCGTTTGCAGCTCAGGATCACACCTTGATTCCTTGGGTGAATCAAGGTTGAAGTGTTTAAAGGGAGGAAAATGCCCTGTAGATTTTACATACTTTCTCTTCTGGTGTTTCAAATATATTAGCCAAACTTTAACTATAAATGGCATCTAGGTATTATGAGTTTAATTAGAAACCTTTAATTTTGCAGTTTTATAAAAGACAACACTGCTCAATGTTTGGTTTTACTAGTAACCATATTAACAATACATAATGAAATTTGTTTTAAGTAAATTACAACTTGTCTTCCTGGAGTCTATAGTCGTTTGAAAGATTTTTCTCTTCAGGGTGCCTGGGTGGCTCAGTCGGTTAAGCGGCTGCCTTTGGCTCAGGTCATGATCCCAGGGTCCTTGGATCGAGTCCCCCCACTGGACTTCTTGCTCAGCAGGGAGCCTGCTTCTCCCTCTGCTTGCTGCTCCCCCTGTTTGTGCTCTCTCTCTCTCAGACAAATAAATAAAATCTTAAAAAAAAGAAAGATTTTTTTCTTCAAAGCATATAAACCATAGTAATCTGAAGAGAGCATTATACTTATTTCTATATTCATTCTAAATGGTTAACTGTTTAATCTACAGATAATTTCTATTGAAGACAATTACAAGGAATAACTTCATGCAGATTAATATATAAACTTCACATGGTGTAAAAAACCGTAAGATTAAAAAAAAAAAAAAAGAAAGAAAGAAATAGAAAATGCCTTTGATCTAACTACTCCGGTGGTTAGTGATTCAATTGAAGGATAAGCCCAGGAACTGTTCAGAAGTAACAATGCCTTGACTTCTTCATTGTCAAAAAACATTAGGTTGAAAAATGCCTAACCTCAGGAACAGAGGTTTGAAAGGAAGATTCTGAAAGCCTTTCTCCGGTGAGGTAAACATCTTTACTAGGGTTACATATCACAGATAATGCACTGTCTTTGATGGAGTTTTGGAGTATAGGTGAGGTTTGGTGGAGTGAGGTCCGGAGCCCACGACCAAGAAAGAATTCTTGAGACCTCTTTGGTGCAAAAATGGTGGTTTACTAAAGCATGGGGACAGGACCTGTGGGCAGAAAGAGCTGCTGAACCGGGTTCTTGAGTGGTGATTTTATACTCAGGAGTTGGGGAAAGTAAGGAAAAGGGAGGTTTCAAAAGAACTTCCATATGCTAAAGATGACCGACCTCCTAGATACCGACAAGATACCAGAGGTCTTGCCATTGTCAAGTTAATGTTTTTTCCCCTCTAGCAAGGTATTAACATTAAGGTAGTGGGGGGATCCCTGGAAGAATGTCACACGTGTCCCACTGAGAGTGGGGGTTTGGGGGAGGTTGCAGGGTGTCAGCTTATGCTTAGTCTTCAGCTTCTGCTCCCTCATCATCTTTTTGCTTGCTTTTGGGCAGCTGTGTTTTTCTTTTTCTTTTTCTTTTTTTTAAAGATTTTATTTATTTATTTGACAGAGAAAGACACAGCGAGAGAGGGAACACAAACGGGGAGTGGGAGAGGGAGAAGCAGACTCCCCGCCGAGCAGGGAGCCCGATGCGGGACTTGATCCCGGGACTCCAGGATCATGACCTGAGCCGAAGGCAGTCGCTTAACCAACTGAGCCACGCAGGCGCCCACAGCTGTGTTTTTCAAATGAAGACTGACCTTAACTTGCGTCTCCTCGGCTTTTGCATGTAAAAAGTCAGATAGGTGCTCTGTTTATTTTTCTCGTAGGCCTAGCAGGTCTCTTTTCTGCTTGCTGGGTAGTTTCTTGCACGGACTTCCGAAACATGTCAGTTTCGCCCCCACTGCCCTACTGAGCCACACAGTTTCTCCTCTTTTGATTCATAGGGACAGTTTTCATCCAAATGGCTCAACAGTAGGTAAACACCGATAATTTGGAGACGCTGACAACCCAAGATACTCAGGTTCCTAGAAAGATGACTTATCCAGAAGACTCTGCTGAGCATTACAGGAGTTACGCGATGAAACAAGGTTCTTGTCTCACAGGGAGGCATAGTGCAGTAGAAAAAGCAAGGGAGGGGCGCCTGAGTGGCTCAGTCGTTAAGCGTCTGCCTTCGGCTCAGGTCATGATCCTGGAGTCCCGGGATCGAGTCCCGCATCGGGCTCCCTGTTCGGCGGGGAGTCTGCTTCTCCCTCTCCCACTCCCCGTTTGTGTTCCCTCTCTAGCTGTGTCTCTATCAAATAAATAAATAAAATCTTAAAAAAAAAAAAAAGAAAAAGCAAGGGATATAGCAGCAAGAGACCTCAACTCTTGTCTAAAAACTGCCACTGGCGATCCTTGTGACCCTGAGGACGTCACGTCCTACAACTCAGGAGGCTCGGGACAAGTCTAGTGGCGACTTTCAGGGGCGGCGGCCCTCACTGGGGGGTTCCCGGTAGAAAGGGCCAGAACGCGACCCGAACGATCTGCACTTGGCAAGTCAGGGCCACAAGATCGCGGCACCTGGAGTCGGTGGGCTACATGCCCCCCAGGCGACTAGAGGCTTCCGGGGCTCCCCTGGGCCTCCAGGGGGCCTGGGGGAGGGCGTGTTCGCGTCCCGGCCTGCGCCGGAGCAGAAGGCCGCGTCCCCGGGACGCAGAGGAGCTGCGGCACGGCTCCCGCCGGGCTGCGCCCAGACGCCACAGGTAGAGAGACGGAGAGGGCTGGGCGTGGCTGTCACGAAGCCGCCGGAAGCGCATTCTTTCTTTTCCGGTTGGGCCAGGTCCACAGACCGCGACCCCAAAATGGCGAGTCGGGGTACGGTCTCGGGGAGCTAGAGGGATCAGGTGGGGGACCGGTCCTCCAAGCCTCCCCCCCGTCCCCGCGCTCCCGCGCTCGGAGCTGCCCTCGCCGGGCCCGCAGAGGCGCGGGAACCGGGCGCTTGCTCCTCAGGTCGGCGGGGAGGCGTGGCGACGTTGCTGCCGAGTCGAGGAAGAGGGAAGTGGCGCCCGCGGAGGCCGGGGCTGGGCGGAGGTAATGGAGAAGCCGCGTCGCCCCCGGGATTTGGTGGCGCGCGCCCCCGGCGCTGCGGGCCGCACGTGCCACTGGCGGCCCCCCGGGGCGGTGAGCGGGGCGGGGGGCGGAGCCGGCGGCCTCCCGCGGCGGCGCGGGCGGGCGGGTGCGCGGGCTCCGAGCGCCCCGTGCAGCCTCCGCCCGCAACCCCTTTGTCCCCCAGGTGCACGTGCGGCCCGGGGACGCTGCCCGGGCACCTTCGGGGGCCGGCCGCCCGCGGAGTGCCCGGAAGCGTCGCGGATTCGCGGGGGGCCGGCGGGCGGGGGGGCAGCAGTGTCTCCCGCTGCACCCGGCGAAACTCCCCCGTTTCCGCTGGCTGATGGTCCGGTCGCCGGAGAAAGGGGCCTTTCAGCTTCAAAGGCGTTAGCTTCTGCCCACATGGAAATAGAGGAGGCGCCCGCATACCTCCTGAGCCGGCCTAGGCTGCAAGGAACCAGGCATTTCTCTGAATACCCGTGGCATCCTCAAAAGAACTTTGTTGCCGTTTGTGCTGGAATACCTCGGGAAAGCAGCCTCTCAAGGCCACCCTTAGCCTTACTTAAAGATCTGTGTGCCCCTGAGGAAGTGTAAAGTCAGGAGAAGGGTTACCTTTACTAGGACCCTTCCTGTCTCAGAAGACCCTCAATGATCACCCTTTCTCTTTCATTTTTTACAAGCTGACGTTGTATTTGGTAAGCAAGGCCAACTTGTCTTTCCAGTAAAGTAAGCAAAAAGTTAATACACAGGTACAAATCTGCACCGTGCCCTTGAAAATCTTCCCAAAATGTACCCCCCCCCCCCCGCAAAATGTTGACATCTGGTTGCCCAGTTGGGGGGTATTTGCTGAGAGGGATAAGGTTACTTTTTTCCCTAATTGCTTTACTTGTTTTCTGATGTGGTTGCCTCAGTTCTCCTGCGAGTATTAATACAATGGAAAGGAGACTATCAAATGTTCCATGAAGTAAAGGTTTCAGTCTTCTTAAGAGGATGAAGGGGCAAGTAGTTGTTTCCCCCTAACTAAAGACAAAAGACGGCGAGATCTGTTAAAATTTAGAGAAACTCAGACATGCCCTATTTGTGAAGATGGGACAGGAGGCACGCAGATTAAATATTGGATATTCTCAAAGCTCCTTCTAGCGAGTGGGCGACAGTTTTTTCATCCACCACCTTTTCCTCGACCTTTAAGAAAAAAAAAAAAGGAAAGTTATCAGTTGACATTTGTCTTCTCTGAGCTGTGCTTTGTTTCAAAGCTGAGTGACAAAAAGAAGTATAGGTCCTGAAGTAATCTGTCATCGTGAGTGTCCTAATACTTGGCAGTTGATTTTATTTTATTTTATTTATTTTTATTTATTTTTAAGATTTTATTTATTTATTTGAGAGAGAGAATGAGACAGAGAGAGAGAGCATGAGATGGGGGAGGATGAGGGAGAAGCAGACTCCCTGCTGAGCAGGGAGCCTGATTGGCAGTTGATTTTAAAGGGTCGACTGGACAGGTTCTTTTCTGTTCATTCTTCTCTGATAACTATAAATAGCAAGTAAATATGTGTCATGTGGCTTTCTTCTTGACATGTACTTTTTTTCTCCCCTCCCTCAGTGCCCTTGGGGAGAAGATCCACTCATTGGTTTTATACCAAACCTGACAAGGCCTCAGTTGTCAAAGGTGGCACCAGGACGATGTCACACATAGGAGTAAAACTGTTCCTAGAGCAAATGATGATGAGACATCTGGAGGTGAATGCATGCTTGTACCCACACATGGAGGCTTTGTGGGGGACGGAGGGGTCTCTGAAAGAGAGCTCCAGTGAGAGTAAGAAATCCAGCCCACAAACGGACAGTCTTGGTCCTGAGAGCGCTCGCCAGCACTTTCGGAGCTTCTATTATCACGAAGCGCCTGGACCACTTGAGGCTGTCAGCCAACTTCAGGAATTATGCCACCAGTGGCTGAGGCCAGAAATCCACTCGAAAGAGCAGATCTTGGAACTGCTGGTGCTAGAGCAGTTCCTGACTATTCTACCCAGGGAGACCCAGAACTGGGTGCGGAAGTACCGTCCACAGAGCATCAGAGAGGCTGTGGCCCTGGTAGAGCGCTTTCAGAGAGAACCTGATGGAATAAGTGATGAGGTGAGGAGATCCTTTCTGTGGACAATGAAATAGGGTAAAGGTAGAATTATCCAGGCTGGGTGGGGAGGGGCAGTGGAGGAACAAGGTGGAGTAGGTCACGCTTCTGTCATTCCTTGGGGACAGCCAGGCAGGATCTGAAGCCACAGATGTGCAGCCGTACTGGATGACAGGTTTCAGAGTCCCTGGCCATCTTTCTTGGCCCTTGGAAAAGAGAAATGCATTTTGCCCTCTTTCGGGCCAGGGCAAACTGGGGGTGGTGGGCCTCAGCTGGCGTGGCCAAGGAAGAGAGGACTTGAGTTCTCAGAAACAGAGAAATAAAAGGCAAGGCAGAGTTGGGGAAGGGGGGGGGCGCAATCTGAAAAAAAAATGCACAGCACTTAGAGATCAAAAGAGAGAGAGGGCAGCAAACAGAAGTATTAATCAGACAACTTTGGGTAGACTACAAGGAGAAGAAATGGAAAGAAAAAAGGAAGCAAGGATACGGAAAGAAGAAAACTGCCAAGAGGGGAGTGGACAGAATCAGGGTGCCAAGAGGGGTAGGGCCCTCTCTAGTGGGAGCGCCTATCTCTGGGCCAGAAGAAAAGAGCCTCCATTGCCCTCCCTTAGTGGTCTGCCCTTGGCCTTGCTGGGAAGTGGGGAACCAGGGTATGCCCTTGGGAGATGGCAGCACCCTTCCTTTCCTCAGGAGCCCACTTTGAGGAGGACAGGGCAGGGTATGTTTTTGGCGTTTTACTACAATGGAATCACATAGAAGGAAGTGAGAGTCCAAACTTTCCTCCAGTTTTTCCTCCGCTGCGTCCCCTTTCTCCATGAAATCTTTCCCTGGCTGTGGAAGGATTGGAAAATCTGACTGACTGGGGATCTTTTTTTATTTTTATGTTTTTTAAAGATTTTATTTATTTGTCAGAGAGAGCTCAAGCAGGGGGAGCGGCAGAGGGAGAGGCAGACTCCCCTGCTGAGCAGGGAGCCCGAAGCAGGGCTCGATCCCAGGACCCTGGGATCATGACCTAAGCGGAAGGCAGGTGCTTAACCGACTGAGCCACCCAGGCGTCCCTGGGAATCTTTTTTTTTTATTCAACTCCTTCTGTTTTAGCGAAAACTGAGAAGTTAAAAATGCCCTTAGGCAAGGGTCCAAGGCAAGAGTGCAAGCCAGTGAGGGCACCATGACAGGATGCAGCATGCCCCCACCCTGCCAGTGGCCTGAGCTGTGGCTGATTGCCCCAGATGATGTGTATGGTTCTTTGTGGGGGAAATGGTGGCACAATATCTCTTTAGTTTTTTTTATTACTTCCTTGAATGTCACAACTTCCCAAATCCGGGCTCTACTCTTGTTCATCCCTCCACCACCACCCCCAAACGAAAAGTTCTGTGCTAATGAGGATGGGGATTATTTCTAGGTCACAATCCATGAGCTGGGAAAGGAGGCAGTGCCCTTGGGAGGAACAGCAGTGGCCCCAGGCTTTAAGTGGAAGCCAGCAGAGCCCCAACCAATGGGTATGTTCCAGAAAGAATGTTGGAATACATACCGGGTACTACAGGAACAGCTGGGCTGGAATACTCACAAAGAAACCCAGCCTGTATATGAAAGAGGTGAGGAGCTTCATAATAATTCTCTTCTGGGCGCCGTGATAGGAATCGGTTCAGCTGGAATGTCATGGGAATGTTCCAGGTGCCCAGCCTTGCCAGTTGTTAGGATGTCTCTGACGTGCGAGGACAATAGGCCAATGGTGGGTGAAGGTGAGGATCAGCCTGGGGTGCACACATGTCCAAACCAGAGAACCCTGGTATTCACACCATGGACCTTGCTCCTTAGAAACTGGAGAGAAGATGGACTAGGGACAGGTGGGGTCATCACCCTTCTATGTTAGAGAAGAAACTGGGATCAGACATGGGTTGTCATGGCAGAAGGGGGAGAGAATTGTGCCCCGGGGGGGAAAAAAAAAGACAGAAACAGCTACACTGGAGGACCTGAGTCTTTCATTTTCAGTCACCTCTAGTTCTTGCCTAGCCTGGTAAACTATTTTATGAGAGGAAAAAAAAAATAATGGATTTCCTTTCATTAATTTCTCTCACGAAATCTGGGGGGAAACAGCCAGCTGGGGAACCAGTTCTTTGGAGTGGTAGATACTTGGTTCTCATTTCCAATGAGAAGACCACCTCTGGCACCACACATACACTTGTGAAGGTGAGCTATCCTTACTGAAGGACTCCTGAGGTTCCGTGTTCTAGAAATCAGCTCAGGGTATTTGTAAACACAAAAAAGAGACATTTTCTCTGGCTCTTTTCCATCCACAGCTGTGCCTGCTCAACAGATTCTAGCCTTTTCTGAGCAGAAAAGCCCCCCAAACTGGAAGATGGCATCTGAGCTCATCTTGCCTGAGTTCCAGGTGAGCTGTACTTCCCAGCTTTTTCAGGCAGCCTGCACCTGGCCTTGTCTGTGCTTTTCTTTGCTGCCCATGACCCACAGTGCTCGGCAGGTGCTCTGAGGCACGTTAGCCCCGGATGTTCACCTCTAGGCGACTAGGCTGGGCACGGTGGGGACCAGGCCCCTCGCACGCTGTTTACTGATTTCGGGCTTTTTCCTTTTCTGCCATCTTACTCCTCCCCCCCCCCCCCCCCCCCCCCGAATCTTAATACTCTTCTTCGGCGACTGGCCTGCTGTGTAGTTCAGAGATGAGTGATAGGAAGGCTTCTGTGGTGGCAAGTACTGAACTGAAACCCATTCTCTTCTTTAGAGCCTGTTGACATTTGAAGATGTGGCAGTGTCCTTTTCTGAGGAAGAATGGAAGTTACTGGACCCTACTCAGAAGATCCTTTACAATGATGTAATGCAGGAGAACTATGAGACTGTCATCTCTCTAGGTAAAGATTCTTCCTTTCCTTTGTGTAGACGTTGAGTAATCTGGCCGCAGTTTATGGAAGACGATCTTCTGTGGGAGAGTCCCCGTGTTCCAGTAGCTGTTTGGGTCTCACCTTGATGGTGTGGGGGAAAGGCCAGGCATATCCAGATGATTCAGAATAGATCCTGACTTACCAGCATGTCTCCCCGTCTGCTGCTCTTACCAGCCTCGTCTAAGCTGCCGTCGTCCCTGACCCTGTCTGCTTCAGTAACACTGGATTCCCATTCCACGTGCCCCCCTGAGGCTTCCTTCTCCCCTTCCTCCTTGCGTCTCCACCCACAATCACTGTAGACTAGAAAGAAGGTGCTGAATCTAAGATTCTGCCCGTTTAAACATTCGGAGTAAATGAAAGAGTCATTCACTCTTCCTGAAAAAGAGTCTGGAATTAGGATGGCAGCCCACGACCTCAAGGTTTTATACTCAGAGCATTGTTGTTAGCCCCTAAACCTGAAGTAATCTGCTTAGAACAAGGAAGAGAACCATAGGTCCAAGGTCCCCAAGAGTTCAAGGACAGTCTTGGAGAGTCTCCTACAGGTAAGTATATACACGGGAAGAAGAGAAATGTTCCTTAATGAGGACCTTTACAGGGGATTAACACTCCAAGATTCTACTCCTGGGTTTTTCTTACTGAACTTCTTCTTGAGATAACTGTAGATTCACATGGAAATTTAAAGTATCATACAAAGAGAACCGGTCTACACGTTACCCAGTTTCCCTCAATGATAACTTTTGCAAAAAGTATCATATAATGTCACAACCAGGATATTGATATTGATACAGTCTTCTGACCTTCATATTTTCCATTTTATTTGTCTGTGTGTGTAATTAGTTCAGTAAAGTTTTTTTTTTTAAGATTTATTTATTTTAGGACGAGAGAGAGAGAGTGTGTGCCGGGGGAGGGGCGGAGGGAAAGATTCTCCAGCCGACTCCCCACTGAGTGGGGAGCACGACGCAGGGCTCAATCTCACGACCCTGAGATCATGACCTGAGCCGAAATCAAGAGTCTGAGGCTTAACCGACTGAGCCACCCAGGGGCCCCTAGTTCTGTAAAGTTTTATTGCAAGTGTAGGTTTGCATGTTCACCTCTGCAGGCAAGATACTGGACAGTTATATTACTGCAAGGACCTTTCTTGTTGCCCTTTTATCATCACACACATGTCCGCTATACCTCACCCCGTCACCGACCCATGCCAACCCCTGATCTGCTCTACATTTCTGATATTTTGCCGTTTCAAAAGTGTTACATGAATAGAACCGTAAAATGTGTAACCCTTTGGCATTAACTTTTTTCATTCAGAATAATTCCTTGGAGATTGATCTGAATTGTTGTGTGTATCAATAGTTGTTTGTTTGTTTGTTTGTTTGTTTTAATACTGAGTAGCATGCCCTGATGTTGAGAGACCACAGTTTGTGTAACCATTCACCACTGAAAAGAGGTCTTTGCTGTCTTCAGTTTTGGGCTAGTGTGAATGAAGCTATCAGGAGCATTTGTGTGCAGGATTTTTTGTAGAGATAAGTTTTCATTTCTCTGGAATAAATGCCTAAAGGGTACAGTTGCTGGTTCATATGGCAGTTACATGTTTAATTTCCTGAACACTTGCCAAACTGTTTTCCACAGTGACTGTACCATTCCACATTCCCAGCAGCAAAGGATGAGTGGTCCAGTTTCTCCATGTCCTTGCCAGTGTTTATATTATCTCCATTTTATGTTTGCCATTCGGATCGGCGTGTAGTGTTACCACGTTGTGATTTGGATTTGCGTTTCCCTAATGGCCAGTGATGTTTTATAGCTTTTCATGCGCTTATTTGCCGTCTCTATTTTCTTGTCAGTGAAATATCTTTCACCCACATCTTAACTGGATTGTTTTTTTTTTTTTTAAAGATTTTATTTATTTATTTGAGAGAGAGAATGAGATAGAGCATGAGATGGGGGGAGGGTCAGAGGGAGAAGCAGACTCCCTGCTGAGCAGGGAGCCCGATGAGGGACTCGATCCCGGGACTCCAGGATCATGACCTGAGCCTAAGGCAGTCGCCTAACCAACTGAGCCACCCAGGTGCCCTGGATTGTTTTTTAACTGTTGAGTTTTGAGAGTTTCTTTATAAAGATTTTATTTATTTATTTATTTGAGAGAGAGAGAGAGAGAGAAACAGCATGAGAGGGGAGAGGGTCAGAGGAGAAGCAGACTTCCCGCTGAGCTGGAAGCCCGATGTGGGACTCGATCCCAGGACTCCGGGACCATGACCTGAGCTGAAGGCAGTCGCTTAACCAACTGAGCCATCCAGGCACTCTTTGAGAGTTTCTTACATATTATAGATTTTAGCGCTTTGTCGAATATGTCGATTGCAAATAGTTTCTCCAAGTCTGTATATTGTCTTTTTAATCCTCTTCCTGTGGGCTTCCACAGAGTAAAAGGTTTTCATTTTGATGAGGGCCAATTTTTCATTTTTTCCTTTTATACATTGTATTTTTGGTGTCAAGGCTAGAACTTGGACTAACCCTAGATCCCTAAAATTTTCTGCTATTTTTTCCTAAAAGTTTTATAGTCTTGTATTTAAGTCCGTGATCCATTTTGGGTTAATTATTATATGAGGTGTGAAGTTTAGGATGAGGTTCATTTTTTGGCCTATGGAGAGCCAATTGCTTCAGCTCCATTTCTTGAAAAGGCTGTCCTTCCTCCATTGAATTGTTTTTGTTTTTTTAAAGATTTTATTTATTTGAGAGAGAGAGAGCTCGCAGGAGCAGGGGGAGGAACAGAGGCAGAGGGAGAAGCAAGCTCCCTGCTGAGCAAGGAGCCCAACTGGGGACTCCATTCCAGGACCCTGGGATCATGAGCTGAACCAAAGGCAGGCAGACGCTTAACCGACTGAGCCACCCAGGCGCCCTCTCCACTGAATTGTTTTTGCACTTCTGTCAAAGAGTAGTTGGGTATATTTGTGTGCATCTCTTCTGCTCCATCGAGCTCTGTGTTTGTGCCAATATTGCACTGTCTTGATTGCTGTAGCTTTGTAATATCAAAGCCTTACTATCTGTCAAGTAGACCGATTCTTCCCACTTTATTCTTTTCTGTAAGATAAAATTTTATTTTAGCTCTTCTAGGGCCTGTGCCTTTCCATGTCCATTTTAGAGTAAGCTTATCTATGTCTACAAGAAACTTTATTGGGATTTTGCTAGATAGGACATTAAACCTATGTATTAGTTTGAGGAGGATTGATGTCTTTACTATGTTGATTTTTTTGATCAATGAACACAGTGTGTGTCTATTTATTTAGGTCTTCTTTAATTTCTTTCATCAACTTTTTGTAATTTTCAGTGTACAGATCCTCTCTGTGTTTTGCTAAATATAGGCCAAAGCATTTCATTTTCACTGGAACATTTGTAAATGGTACTATTTTTAATTTTGGTTTCTGTGTGTTCATTGTTTTTTTACATAGGAATGCCACTGATTTTGTATTTTTTTTTTTTTAAGATTTTATTTATTTATTTGGCAGAGAGAGATATAGCGAGAAAGGGAACACAAGCAGGGGGAGTAGGAGAGGGAGAAGCAGGCTTCCCGCTGAGCAGGGAGCCCGATGTGGGACTCGATCCCAGGACCCTGGGATCATGACCTGAGCCGAAGGCAGACGCTTAACGACTGAGCCGCTACCCAGGCGCCCCTGATTTTGTATTTTGATCTTGTATTCTGTGATCCTACTAACTCACTTATTATTTCCAAGAGGTTTTTTTGTAGATTCCTTGAGATTTTTACACATAGATAATCACATTATCTGCACTGCCTTTTAATTTCTTTTTAATGCCGTAACTGCAGTAGCTCCAACTTCCTGCTATGTTGAATAAGAGTGGAAAGAGCAGACATCCTTACCTTGTCCCAATTTTGTCGTGAAAACGTTAAGTTTTTCACCATTACCTATTTACGTTAGTATGGTTTTTTTATTGTTGATACTCTATTACCGAGTCAATATAATTCCTAACTTAGTGTTCTTATCATGAATGGATATGGAATTTGTGAAACACTTTCCTGTGTCTTTTGATAGGTGTATGATCTTCAAAGCTTGTTGATATGGTACGTTACGTTGATTGATTTCAAATGTTGAATCAGCCTTGCATACTTGCAGTAAATCTTTCTTGATCCTGGTGTATAATTCTTACATATGGTTACATTATTTGCCAGTATGTTGTTGAGTATTTCTACATTTAAGTTCATGGGAGATGTTAGTCTGTAGTTTTCTTTTTTAAAAAACGATTTATTTATTTTAGAGAGAGAGAGAGAGAGCATGCACATGGGTGCATGAGCAAGGGTGGGAGGGGAGGGACAGAGGGAGAGAGGATCCCCAAGCAGACTCCCTGCTGAGCGCAGAGCCTGACATTGGGCTCAATCCCAGGACTCTGGGACCATGACCTGAGCCAAAATCCAGAGTCAGCTGCTTAACCACCTGAGCCACGAGGCACCCCAGCAGTTTTCTTTTTTAGTATTGTCTTTATATGATTTTGCTATCAGGGTAATACTGGCCTTATAAAATGAGTTGGGTAGTATTTCCTCCTCCTTTCTGGAAGAGAGTGTGTAAAATTGGTGTTAATTCTTTAAATATTTAGTAGAATCCTGCAGTCTCACCATATGGACTTGGATTTTTGTTCAGTTGTGACTTTTGCTCTGAGCTTTATTATTTCCTTTCTTTAACTTGCTTTTAAACTATGAATTCAATTTGTTTAATGGTGATAGTGCTATTCAGATGATCTATTTCATGTTGGTTGAATTCTGTTAGTTTGTGGTTTTGAAGAATTGGTCCATTTTTTCCTAACTTTTAAAAGTCATGAACATAAGGTTGCTTATAGTATTATCTTATCATCCTTTTATTTATTTTTATTACTTTTTTAAAGATTTATTTATTTTTTAGAGAGTGTGTGAGCAGGGGGAGGGGCAGAGAGAGAGGGAAAGGGAGAGAAGCAGACTGCCTGCTGAGTGC